CGCAGAGGAGCCTCAAAGCTTTGTCTCCCAGGATGTGGCCGACGTTACTGTTTCTACAACTTTCCACTTACATCACACAGCTCACTGTGTTCTCACTCAAAACTATAATTTCATAATTAATTTGTTAGTTGTTTTAAATTATGTTTAAGTTGTAGTTGAGTTGTTTGCGTTGAATTATTTTAGACAAACCTTCAGTAGTTTTATTTATTTTTTCTTAAATTTAAAATCAATCTCTATGTGAATACAATATTAAATGTAAACTGGTTGTCTGATCACAATCATTTTTAGCAGAAGAATGAAAACACGATAGGTACACTTTAATCCACCAATCTTTAATTTTAAAAAATATTTTTGAAGTTGCCTGCAAGTGGATTAATTGAAATAAATTATTTGACTTTCACTTCGATACATTTTTATCAATAATCGTCTTAACAAATACTCCCTCCCCATCACTTAAGCAGGCTCTCACGCAACGCATCGTCCAGACAGACTCGATTGACACTCGGATTGAACTCACTCACTTAGTTGCCAGTTACACTCACACACACTGTTACTCACTTAGTAGTTACACTGCCACACACAATTAACTTCATTGTGTTTGAATAAAATCACTTGGCTTGCCTTCTTATAAGTCAAATTAAAGAAAGGATGGAATTGTCCAATAGTTTGTTTTTGTTTATTTACTCTAATGCCAATAAAGGGTAACAATACTACTTTTTAATAAAATGCCAGTTAAAAAATATTGTTTATGTCTCATAATCATTATCTAGGATTTAAATTTATGAAAGTCAAAATAGTTCTTTTTTGTAGTCTCTATTTTCCCGACTGATTCAGATATGTTTAAACTGTATAATAATTTATATTAAGGTTAGCATATTAAACTACTTATTAAATCTAGTCACAACTCCGTTAAATACAAAATAGACCAACCAGTTTCTTATAAGACTAACAGAAAAAAAAACAATTGGAAGCCACCCATCAATCAATAACAATCACGACTAATCAGTACTACCTAATTAATAAAAGCCAAGCTTCCTTCCCCTGGCAGTGCTATCATGTCCTCCACATTCCCCTGCCGATACATAGGAAAGCTCCTAATTACAAAGCCAAACAAACCATTAACACTTACTGGAAAACCGTTTCCAGTGTGTACACGTCCTCGAGGGTCAGTGAGGGGAAGGCAGGCGTGCGGGGTGTGGGCGCGGGAGGGGGGGCGACACGAAGGGTAGAAGAGAATAAGAAAACGTATTTACCCCCGGACCACTTGCGTTCCGACGTAACTTTATACCTAAACGGTGGTAGGGCTGTCTGTGAAATCCTATTTTCCTTTAATGAGTTTCAACAAAACTTATGAATAAAAAGTACTCAAAGTTGTTTTTCTTAGGAAAAAGAGGTACATTAAATAAAAAATTGCTTAACTGTAATATGATATGACATCATGCTGAATGTATAACATATGCAAATGCTATGTATGGATATAAATCTTTTGCATTCCTCGCAACTGCGGCTGATTTCTTCTATTTACGCAAAATATACGTAACCTTAACCATTAAATATATCTAAGGACTTCCTTTAATAAGGACTTCCTTTTAACATAAGTATGTATACTACAAACCCCAAATCAAAAAAACAAATGCAAAATCACCTCATCCATATAAAACGAATAGTAAATCACTTGAAAACTTCTCCGGCACAGCCCTGGCGCGTCCATCAAAGCGCGGCGTTAAGTATATCAAATGAATTGTAAATGAAATCAGACGCGAGTGGGCACCGGTTTATCGCTGCGTCGGGCGCGGCGCGTCCCGTCCCGCCGGACGGAGCGCGTTCTACATAATGTTACGCGTTACCTATACAAGTAATGATAATGGTAATTGCTAGATGGAGGCGCAATGTTTCCGTTTCGATGGTTTAGAAATGCTTGTGTGGTTCGTTTTCTATAGTAATAATAGTAATATATTCGCGATAAAGAAGTAGGGATTTAAATTAATAGCTTTTATTGGAAATTTTAATCCATATACCTATATTAGTTCTACATCTATAATTAAATTAAAGTTATGGATGAACTAAAATATTTTTAACTTAAAAAACTTTACTTTTGAAAAACCTGTCAATAAAAACCATCCATACGCAAGTTGGAATTACCATTCTAAACATATAGCCACTTCTTATAAAACTTTAAAAAAATATGGAATAGAATAGAACAAACTGAATTCTTCAATGTAAAGGCAACGAAGTGCATTGCATTATTCTTTTGTTCAAGCTCTACGCTTTCGTAGCGTCTGCTACGGCGTAGCACCGTAGCAGTAACTGGGATACGTACCACGGATTGTTGAATCCCCTTTTGTTTTTAATGAATAAGTTTACTTCGCTGCTTGTTCCAGATTGGTTTATAGAATTAAGACGTATTCAGTAATTGGATAAAATACTGCAGGGGCAAATGATGAATAAAGCTGGAGTTTTAACTGGACCAACTGTTTACAATTTGACAAATAATATAATATGACAATTAAGAAGTGTTTATTTAAAGTAATATTGTTTACACATTTTGCTCAGTTGTTTTCGAAAGATTAAAATATCAAGCTAACAACATTTTTTTGCTTTGTTACAGGTAACACTGCAAGACACTTTAAGTCCATCGTCGCGTGGTGGTAAAACCCGCACCTCCATTACAATTTAAAACCAACTTTCCTACACAATCATCTCCACCCTTCTACCGCAATCTTAAAACATTAAATAAATCACTATCAAAAGCTACGATTTCTCTTAAAACTAGTCATATTCAGTATTACAATCACGCGCCCGGAATCTTTTCCTTTGTCAAAAATCACTTATACACCGCAGCCTATAGGAGTTTCCATAAGTGAAAAAGAGACAGACATACTTCCGTCAGCTCCGTGGATAGGACAATTTGCGCGTCCAGTCGCGGTAAGAGGTTCCGACTTTTATTTTTACGGTAATGCATACTTTCTTTGGCAGGACTTATTGGGTGGGCTTGAGTGAAGTGGACTGCTTCATTTTATGAAAAGCATAATTCTTGAATATTGCCCCCTTTCAGGCTTTTACCCGCGAACGACTCGAGGTGCGGATTAAAAAAGTTTATATGACTTTTTTATGATCGTTTTTTGATTTTTTTTAAAGTGGCCCTTTTGTTCAGTGATGTACAATTGCTGGTTACAGAAAGGCGGTTACCCGCGACATCTGTTTCCTTTACGAAAAATCCCCTGTAGCTGTCGGTTACTTTATAAAGAAGTACTTCAATTGACACCTTTTTAGAACCTTTTTAAGTGTGTACCTAATAACATTTTTATTCTCTATTTACACACCCTTCCAATTTCAAAGTTGCAAACCGTAAACAATGTCATTGTACTGACATAAAATGCACGATAGCACACCTCGAGCTGATCTCTTCGCAAGATAAAGTTTACAGCTATAAGAGTGCGCTATCAAACTCGGCTGACTTATCAAAATGCGCTCCCTTGATCCATTCTCCGACATAACACGAGATAATAATGAATGAACTATTTATAATATCCGTCTTTATGTCACCGTTTAATATAATATTCAAATGAAGTGCATAAATACGGAATAGTTTGAAGTCGGTGCTGAATCCTAATCACGGATTATGAAGTCGCTCTTAGACTTCGGAAGTCGGGAGGAATGTTGGAATGTCAATATTGTGGATGTTTTCAGTTTCTACTGATGATATGTTTTATAAAAGTTTCTGTGAAAGGAACTAGTTTAAATGGGGTTATAAAATTTTAATACATTTATTGTTGAGTATACTGGCTTTATAACTTATTAAGTATAAATATGAATAAATATACAATCAGTTTATGCATGTTTTTAGATTATTTTCATTCCGATGTTGTACTTTACACACTTATACACATGTATTTCAATACTGAAAAGATATACCTGAAAAACGTTTTTGAACCTATTGAATATGGACGTATGGACACATTAATACCAAAAATATTACAATAAGTAAATGTACATTCTCGTAAACCAAATATTTTAACTTAGACTACGATTTAAAAAAATCAATTTAACTCGTTGAGTACCGTCATTATAGACACAATTAAAGAACAATAGGTTGCGGTCGCCGGTGACCGCGCGGTGTTTGACAGTTTAATAAACAATGCTAACAAAAGTACTACAAAGCAAAAATTTATTAATATTGAACATATCTGGGCTTATTCTTCATAATTTCAATAACGTTTATTTCTTAATATATTCTACCACGACGGCATCATGTCCTGGCCTACATATCTCTACAAAGGACACCCAACAATAGAACAAAGTCCTAAGTAAACGTTCCCAATACGGAAACGGTTAAAAATACGGAAGCGAGTCGTGCCCGGCCGCAGGACGCGTATTTCAGCCGGCCTCTGTCAAATGCAAGGTATAATACTAAATTACTTAATGCATCGACCTATAAAAGATTTACCACACGCACACATACAACTAGCCCCGCCCACCGCCGCGTCTCTTTGTTCTGACACCCGCACACATGCGCGCCTCGCACCCTCCACCCGTGTGTGCGTTAAGGGGGGGATGAAATACGCATCCAATTTTTCTTACTTACATTTTTATTTATCGTCATTCCACCGTATTGGCGATTGAATTTTAGATTTTAACGATTATTTCATGTTAAAAAATACGTAACATTTTTTCTTTTCACTAGAGATAAGCTTTGATTTCTTAAATTGGTACTATCTATCCCCTGAGGGATGAGGCTTTCGCTCAAAATATAGATAAAAAAACCTCAATAAAGATAATTACGATCATTATTAAAAGTACAATTTGACGGGAATCAATTTTACCATTTCCATTACGACGACAATGGCGGAACGATTTCCCTTGTGCGCCCTCTTAAGTAGTGCAGCAGTGTGGGTGCGGGACTTACTAGTGGGCGCGCGTGTGCGTGAGGCCGATACTGGCGCACAGGGCTTAAATAGGCGCGCGGTGCTCGCTCGCCAGCATTGGCTTGCCGCCGCTCGCGTCGACAAGACGTGTCTCTCCGTTCAAACATGTCATAGCTTCTTACGTACTTCTCCTTCTTCTTCTTATAACAATACGTATCATGTATTTTCTAATGTAGGCAAAATTTGGTGCTCAATATTACAAAGTAAAAGTATTTTTTATATACGGACTTTATGGCGACTTGTTATTAGATTGTAGTAGATATATATATTTATTATATTTTTGGTACGGAAAGTGTGATTAAAGCAGCAAGATGAACTTCATCGGTAAGTTTTATATTTACTTTTTCTAATTCCATTCCTTAATCAAATCTTTTATGATTATTTTATTTAACTTTTTTGTTAATAAAATTATTTCTAATTTATATTTTGTGCATATTTATTACATTTTTTATTTTCTTAGTTGTATTTTTTTATTTTCACCCTGTCTTTTTCAGATGTAGACTAAATGTAGATTTATTCCTTCTCTCATGTTTTCTTTTCTATAACTTTCTTAACAACTCTTTACAGGATGAAGCATTTACTACGATAATTGTTGTAGGATAATAATCTACACATAAATAATATAAAATCCTGTATTTATACTGCAGTACTCGATAGAGTTTCGATTACAATCTGGAGTCCTTACCAAATATTGGCATAAACTTAAAAAAAGTCTGCATTACTTTTAACCCTTCAATAATTCAAAGGCTCTATTACAGCTGCTACATCCTTAACTGATTTCGACCTTGAGGTCCAGCTATAAAGTATAATAGTCTTGTAACCAGTCGACACAGCACAGTCCTGGGACTTAAAGCGCAGCCATACGCGTTGACCGACTTCTTTCAAGGCCACTGGCAGCGTGCCAACTGGGTTGGCCTAGCGCCGGGCCCCGAAATAGGTTGACAGTGGATGCAGCCCCTGAATAGCCCGACTCTATACATAATTTAACTGAGTTAGGGAATGTCGGTAGTTGAATACTTTAGTTAAATGATGTCAAGTATCTTAGTCGAAGAATACTTGGGTGGTTGCAGTGGGAAGCAAATCACTCCAATTTGCTGTATTTCACTGCTAGGATGACGAGCATAAAATAACTAAACTGTACTATAAAATCTCTAAATTAGTTTGTATCTAAACCGCAGTTGATTACATTCTCTTATCCAGAAACAGTTAACTGGCTGTATAAAGTAAATCGTTCAGGTCTCAATCAGCCCGGCTCTAATAATTACCGAGTTAGCACAGACGAGCGAGCACTAGTGCTAGTGTTCACGAGGCTTTCATTGAAATTTATACGAACATAAACTTCAACGTGCATTTACACGCTAGTTTAGAAAACAAATTGTAGAGCGAAATTCGTTCTTGTTTTAGAAAATGGGAATAGGGGTGTTATTTCGTTGTTTAAAGAAAATGTTATTTTGCTTTGTTTCAGATTTTAGTCTAAAACAGTATCTTTTCTTAAATTTAAAGAACTATTTTAAGAACAATATTATTATTGCAATTTTTCATTTTTGAGATTTAAACTTGGAAAAGAAATTATATAAAAAGTTAACTTAAACATTATGAAATGCTTCCATATAAAAATGATTACACCAGTTCACTGAGAAACTTTTGCGGCACGTAGCAATTGCTACCAGCGCTACGTTCGTTCGTAGCGTCTGTAGCTGCTACGGGTCTACGAACACGTAGCCGAGTCTTGTAGCAGATAATCTTAACATTTTGAACAAAAATATCACATCGTAGGCTCGTGTATCTACATATCAATGAATCACATATTACAATATTCAATAATACGCAATCATAAAAAAATATTGAACAACGTTAACATTCGGACACTCATATATATTTTATGCTCATTTTACGACATCCTATTTTACACGATTTTTTAGTATTGCACAGGGTTTTGGGTTCGGGCATTTTATATTCAAATATAAGAATAAGGTCACATACATAGAATATACTTTGTTATACACAATATCTTTTAAATTCAAGTTGATACAATACATACATTTTTCCTAAAATATCTTGGAATCGATACTCAGTACTTTACTACGTCAAAAACAATGAAACAGTTCTGAGCAGACATTGTTCAATATTAAATGAGTTCCCTATACTTTATTGAACTCGTAACCTATGCAAGCCTTTTGACAAGTGACATAAAGTCGACATTGGCTTGGCAAGTTAAGGGACCCTACAGAGGCTAATCTAATGAGCATCCAGGCCGCGGAGGCTGGCGAACTGCCAACGCTGGAGGCTTCAGGCTACTTAATATTTTGTACAAATTCAGCGTGCCCTGTATTTTAAATGAGGTTTTTTCAGACGAGCAGTTATTGTACAGTAGGTGAGCTGAAATTCTACGTTATTTTAGAGAAATTCCAAAATTTATGGACTTTATAAATCATGTTGAAATACCACACTCTTGCCAGTTTTTTTTATTTTTTCCCCAAATCTCAAACCAACGTAATTGGGAATCCGCCAACTAGTTCGTAACGGTTTCATGAAGGTTCTCAATTTTATAGTTTATAAATTGAATGTGAGACTAAAATGTTGCTCAAAAACTTTCATTTATTTCGGAGTTAAACTCCTTCAGTCTGGCTCTTAACTTTTCCAAAGTAGGCCTATATAACCACATATATCTATATATGTACACGGCGTCTAAGACCCTCCTACGGCACACATTCTTCCACAAATCTTCGAGGGCAAACTTTTTAACGACAGCGTAAAAAACCACTTGCAACTACAGGCCATTACCGGCCAACTTTCCCTCTCTTTCATATATTATACGAGTGAGAAGGACAGAGATACACTCCGGCGAATGGTGTGCTGACCAAACATACATCGTTATGCTTTTAGGATCGCAGTGGGATTATGTCTCGGTGGGTAATGTACTCCATAGTAATGTCGGATTATTTTCTTCTATTAAAAGCTGTTTTTTTTTCAGTTTCGTGGATTAACGATGTTGATATATATATTTAGTAAAAAATAATATAGCTACTACCTAACTTTAAAAGTTATACTTAAAACAGTGAAATGAACACAAACAACTAAGATAAACAGTAGACCTACATAAAAATACAAATATGAATAAATACAAAAGTCATCTGATAAATCTATGTCTATCATATTAATGAGGTATAAGTAATAATGTATTATTCCTTGGCAATAAAAAAAATATTTGCCAATTAAAGCTACTCGTATTTATAGCACGCTAGCGTCTGGCAATCTTAGTCAAATGAGGTTCAGTTGCCAGGATTGCTAATTTGATGACACCCAAGTACAGCGTGAGTGCCATTGTGATTGCTTCTAGGTTATTAATTGGAATTCAGCTGGAGAAAAATTCTCAAAAAAAACTGTAAAATGGTATACTTTGTCGTATAGGAAGTAGGATACAATTGTGCAATTAGATAATAGTAAAGTGAAATCACTCCAAAATCATTCATTGTGAAAAAAGCCAAGTAGTCATTAATGTCAGATGAGTTCCAGAAACCCTAAAATGGCTCATCTTTCAAATCTTTCGTTTCCAAGAAACTGAAAAAAAAAATGATATACATATTATGTTATGTATATCATTTTCAACGATACAATAATTAAACATTGATATAATCATTTTTTAAGTTTAACAGAAATATAATATGACTTGAGGATCATATTTCTTACCTTCTTACAGTCTTACCGTATTCACCACCATAGTTCTTACATTATTCTAAAACGTGTAATGTTAAGATAATACATCAATTGACCGTCTGTATATTATATCCATTCCAAGATGAGCCCCGACTGAGCAAGATATATTTGTTTAAAACAAGTTGTAATTAATACTTACTGCGGGTCCAGTCTAAACACAAACTCCCGTTATCCTAATTGCTCTATTCTCGGAGGTGTAATGTAGAACATTGCCTGTCTCTACATCTCTACAATAGCTCTACAAAATGTAAATGTTGTTCTAGTTATAATTACAGCGGTAAGCGCTCTACCATCCGAGATGAATCTCTAGATTTATAGTTATTGCATATTATAGTAGAGCTGGATGTGAGTTTAAGTGCAGTATAAATATTGGACGAGTATGTTAGTGGTTTTAACTCTTGAATATTTATTAAACAACAAAATAAAAAATAAGAAAATGTTCCCCAAACACGAACTCAAGTAACTGTCCTCTTTTCCTAAAATTTATATAAGCTGTAATGAAATAAAGTTCAAGAGAATTTTGTTCTCATTTTTATATTAAACCACAGAATGGCTTGTTCGCGATAAAGTCAGTCCCCTGTCGTCTTCACATAAATTCGGAGCCTGACGTCAAATGAAACATCTTTCGATTCCAAAAAATATTGACATCCTCCAATTTACCTTCCATCTTCGCGTGTTTGCTAAACATAAAACCTCTAAATAAAATCTACGGCCCAACAAACTGAAAACAAACTCAGGCCCCACACAATAGAGTCCAAATTCAATTAACGATCGGATAATAAAAAATATACGAAATAAAATAGTATTTTATTGTAGCTTGCTGGCTATGTGAAATGAACGTCGGTGGTTCTTTTTTATAAGTGTTCGTTGTACGCCAAAAATCAATATTTGGGTCACGAATCGGCCGCGAAATCGTTTTAAATCATTGAGGCTTGATTTACAAGCGGCCGCGTACGAATACTGAACAATGTACGACAGTATTCTGACCGTCAGCTGAGGGCAGCGCCATATTTATTGCTCGACTCTGCTGCTTTATCGTTCGTAACTTGTTTTCACATTAAATTAAGTACCAGGATTATACGCACGACACACATTTAACAGATTTTGATGTTAACTTTGTATGTGGAACCATGGAGAAAATAATGTTCTCTTTTAGTCAGAAATAGCCGTGAATAACAAAACCATCAATGAGAAACTTTACTCTAAAAATAACAAAACTAACTAAAAACAGAACTAAAGTTAACAATTAAAAACATTACGTCATAATAAAACCTGCAATTTTTAGTAAATCATAATATAAAAATATTTAAAATGTATAATATTAACGACAATCACTAAAAATCCAACTCAATAATAGCTACTTTAAAGAGTTAGAATAGTCTATGAAACGCTACAATGCGTATCGTCCTAAGGTTCTCCTTTAGGAATATCTCGACAGGCCGGAGTTTGCATATGTGCCCATTTAATGCGAAAAGGGTCGACTCCTCGGGGAAATCCAAAACGTTATGTTATATAAAACAAATCTACAAAATATATTTCACTTTTCTGTCTATTTCCTTCCTTTACAATCCGGATATACATACGTACATAGTTAAAGATATGTATAT